AGCTCAGAAAAATGTTATTGAATAGGTTAATGCTGTTGTAATGAAATGCTTCTTCTAATTAAAAAAAAAAAAATAAGTCTGGTTGGGCGTGGTGGCACACGCCTTTAATCCCAGCACTCGGGAGGCAGAGGCAGGCAGATCTCTGTGTGTTCAAGACCAGCCTGGTCTGCATAGTGAGTTCCAGGACAGCTGGGGCTACAAGGAGACCCAGTCTCAAAAAGACCAAAAAAAAAAAAAGTCTGAAGTGACAGATAAAGTTAATGATACTTCCCACGTGCAGTGAAAAATGGTAAGAAACAGGAAATTAGCGTTTTTTAAAATACATTTTTCATTTACTTGTTTAATTTAAAATATTTTATTTACTTTTCGAGAATTTTATACATGTATACAATGTATTTTGATCATATCCACCCCCGACTCCAGTTAAAAAAAGTCTGAAGTGACAGATAAAGTTAATGATACTTCCCACGTGCAGTGAAAAATGGTAAGAAACAGGAAATTAGCGTTTTTTAAAATACATTTTTCATTTACTTGTTTAATTTAAAATATTTTATTTACTTTTCGAGAATTTTATACATGTATACAATGTATTTTGATCATATCCACCCCCGACTCCAGTTCTTCCCAGACCCCACCACCACGTCTTTCCCCCAACTTCATGTCCTGTTTTTTTAACCCACTGAGTACAATTGGTGCTACGAGTGTGTGCATGAGTTTAGGTCCATTCACTAGATCATGGGCAACCTACAAGGGGCCACTTCCCTAAAGAAAACAGACTCTCCCAGGATATTAACATTTTTAAAATCAGTTACCAACCTTGTGTCAGACACTGTTAAGTGCTTTTTTTTATATATTTTCAAATATAATCCTTTATAGGGCTGAAGGTTTAGCTCAGTGGTATAGCACTTAATTAACATGCCTCAAACTCTGAGTTCCATACCAGTACCACACAAAAAAGTAAATAGAAAATTAATTTAGGAGCTGGTGATGTAGCTCCGTTGGTAGAGTTCTTACCTGGCATGCACAAAGCCCTGGGCTCAGCCCCTTAGCACCACAGAGAACTGAGTGTGGTGACAAACGCTTGTAATCCCACCACTCAGACGGTGGAGGCAGGGGGATCAGAATTTTAGACTCATCCTTAGGTGCATGTGAGTTGGATGAGGCCAGCGTAGGCTGCATGAGACCCTGACTTGAAAAAATAAAATAGGGCTGGAGACATGGATTAATGGATGCAGACATGGCTCATTTGCCCCATAAGCATTAGGACTGGACTTTGGATCCCAAGAACCCACATAAAAGCTGGGCAGATATATGGCTGCCTTGTAATCCCAGCACTTGGCAGGCAGAGATGAAATCTCTGGAGCAAGCTGGTTAGCTAGTCTAGCCTATTGGCAAGCTTTGTGTTCAGTTGAGCCCCTGCCTCAGTATATAAGATAGAAAACAATGGAGTAAGACTCCTGATGTCAGCCTCCACATGTATATGCACACACTCATGTACACATACATACATGTATGCCTACATACATGTAAATATGCATACATGCACACACACCACACACGTACACAAGCAAAGAATAAACAAATTTAATGCTTTTCCTAGTCCTTTTAGGTAGATATTATAATGTTCTTTTTTTTTTTTTTTTTTGGTCTTTTTGAGATAGAGTTCCAGCTGGCCTGGAACTCTCTATGTAAACCAGGCTGGCCTTGAACTCACAGAGATCTGCCTGCCTCTGCCTCTGCCTCTGCCCCTGCCTCTGCCTCCCGAGTGCTGGGACTAATAATGTTCCTCTTATAGACAAGGAAAATAAGCCTCAGAGCAGCTAATTTTATGTTTTAAGTCACACAGTTAATAAAAGGCAGGGATCTGAATCTTGGTCAGCCTGACTTCACCTCTGTGTTTTTCTATGGTGCCATGCTACAACAAAGAGCCTTTTTTCTTTTCTTTTCTTTTTTCTTTCTTTCTTTTTTTTTCTTTTCAGGACGAGGGGGTGAGACAGGATCTCATGTAACCTAGGCTTGCCTCAAACTTGCTATGAAGTTAAGGCTAGCCTTGAATTACTAATCTTGCTGCCTTAGCCTACCACATGGTGGAATTAGAGTCATGTACTACTGTGCCCAGTTTTAAGAGAAAGTAGTCTTACAGAGACTAAAGAATAAAGATAAGTCCCAATGAAAACTTGATATCTTGCTTTAGGAAGCAGTAACAGAAAGCAGACTTATCAGACTGACTTTTGGTCAAGCAGCGATATTAGAATTGTGTTGTTAATATGTTAATGTCATGCCTACTACATGAGCCTTTTGATGAGGTGCTTGGTTTACTTTCTCCTCCTCATTGGTACATCTGGCAATTGACCTACCACTCTGTCTCTTTAGGGTAAAGCCCACAGCTTGAAGCCAAAAGAGAAGCTGGCAGGTAGTCCAGTTCGCTCTTCCGAAGATGTAAGCCAGCGAGTCTATCTCTATGAGGGACTACTAGGTAAGAAATAGACTTGGAATGCCTGTTGCACTGAAAGAAAGCTGGGCTCAGCCAGGGGAGAGGGTGGCACTGAACAGTAGCTGCTTGGCCTTTTGCTAATCTCAATGCTGACATCAGGTAATATTTTAAGCTTTAAAAAATTATTTAGTGGGGATGAGAAAGCACAGCATACTTGTGAAAGTCAAAGGACAACTTGCGGGATTCGGTTCTCTCCTTTCACCACATGGGTTCCAGGGATCAAACTCAGGTCATCAGACTTGACAGCAAGTGCCTTTACCCACTGAGTCATCTCACCAGCCCAATAGCATCATAAATTCTCAACCAAACAACTCATGGTGTCTGAAACAAGCAGGGAGTAAAAACTAGATGAAAGTGGATTTTGGTCTTAATCAACAGCCTATGTATTTCTGTCTTCCTTTCTTTCCTCTGGCTACCATGTTCCTTCCTGCTTACAAACTGGCAGGAAGGGACAAAGGATCGATGTGGGACCAGTTAGAGGACGCTGCTATGGAGACCTTTTCTATAAGTAACTGCTTTTCTTTGTGTGATGTGTTCATCCCTCCTGCTTGGGAGGGGCTGGGCCTCATGTGGAGGCTTCTGGGGCTGGTGGCAAAAATGTTATATTTGGGATAGAAAGGTTTGTGTTTCCTTGTCCTGGAATTGGAATGACCTCATTTTATCTGAGCTTACTTTATTTTTATTTGGCAGCTATACTCTTTAAATGTTAAATAAGCTACCCCTCCAACAAAAACACCTCAACTTTATTCTACAGGCAAAGAACGTTCCACTTTATGGGACCAAATGCAGTTCTGGGAAGATGCATTCTTAGATGCTGTGATGTTAGAAAGAGAAGGCATGGGTATGGACCAAGGTCCCCAGGAAATGATTGACAGGTATGGGACTTGACAAAGACATGGCATATACCAACTCAGTTCTTCCCAGTTAGTTCTGTGGTCTTCTACCTGAGGGTTGGCTTGTCCCTGGTCTTCTGCTTTAGGTACTTGTCCCTGGGAGAGCGTGACCGGAAGCGCCTGGAGGATGATGAAGATCGTTTACTAGCCACACTTTTGCACAACCTCATATCCTACATGCTGCTGATGAAGGTAATGTCAATTTTGCTTATGTTCATCAGTTACTGATGCAGAAAAGGCAAAGCTTGTTCCTATTGCCTAAATTCTGGGGCAGCTAGAAAGCTGTCAGAGCATTTTAAACCTGATGGAAAGTCCAAGGCCTCTGTGTCAGCTTACACACAATCCATTTGGCTGAAGTTGCCAACCTGTTTTGCTAATAAATGTTGTAAGTTAATTAATCATCCCTTACTATTTTTTTACTTTGAATTTTATATGTGTTCCCTTTGTTAAGTTGTTTTTGGATACCACAGAGCTCCCCACAGAATACAACCAAATTATTGTTTTGTTTTGGTTTTTTTATAGTAATGTGTTCTAAAATCTTGGATAGATGCTCAGAATTTATTTTTCAGCCCTTTGTAATACAGGATTTTCTATATCTTCAAAAAGAGCTACCTAGTTGGGCATGGTGGTTCATGCCAGTTAATTCTGGCCCTTGGGAGGTGAAGGAAAATCAAGAATTTTTTTTTTTAAGTCTTTTTGAGACAGGGTCTCCCTGTAGCCTCAGCTGCCCTGGAACTCATTATGTAGCCCAGGCTAGCCTTGAACTCACAGAGATTTGCCTGCCTCTGCCTAAGATAAAGACTTTCAAGCCAGCCTTGGCTACAAGTTCAAGACCAATTTAGACTACATATAAGATCTTGTCAAAAAGGAAAAAAAAAAACCCTACTTATTAACAAAGTAATGATACGTTCTAGTTTGATTTGGTTGTGCTTGGTATTTATAGCTGTTGGAGAAGTGTTACCAAATAGAAAAGTCCTGATGTGAACGGGAAGCCTGGGTTTGGGATTGGTGGTAGAAGGGCATTGTTTTGAGAATGAGCTCCCTGAGTTTCTCCTTCTGTTCCCCAGCCTCTACATGTGAAATATAGGGACTGTTCTGCAAGGCCTTTTGATGTGCTTTATCTTGAGTTGTAAGGTTTCCTCCACTCTTGAATTCCAGTCAACTCTGGTTGGGGAAGGATGTGACCATTAACCCTCAAAGGGTATCTAGGCTACTACTCAGTCCCAGTGTTGCTGCTCTTGTGTTGCTATTTCTAAATTATACTCCAAGGAGCCCTTTAGGAGAAAGCTATGGCATTGGATGGAGGCAGGAGGAAGTGTCCCTTTGATACCCAACTGCTCTGAGAGCCACTATTCTGCAGAAGCTAACTAGACAGAGCCAGTTCTGGTCTCAGCATTTGGGCAGAATACAGTTGAGAGTGTTCTACCATATTCGATGAGGTGGTCTTTAGAATTCCACTTCTCCCAGATAAGAGGCTTGCTCAGACATTTTCTTTTTTAAGATTTATTTATTTTTATTTTATGTGTATGAGTGTATTGCCTGCGTGTGTATTAGTGCACCTGTGTCATACAGTGCCCATGGAGGACACAAGAGGGCGTTGGATCCCCTGGAACTGGAGTTAAGGACAGTTGTTAGCTGCCATGTGGGTGCTGAGAACTGAACCCAGGTCTTTTGCAAGAGCAGCCAGTGCTCTTAATCACTGAGCCATCTCTCCAACCCCACTCAGACATTTTCTTATATCTGCCTCAGTTGAGAAGAGAGACGATCCTTTATTAAGACTCTTGTTTTGGATTTCCAGGTGAATAAGAATGACATCAGAAAGAAGGTACGGCGCCTAATGGGAAAGTCCCATATTGGGCTTGTCTACAGCCAACAAATCAATGAGGTGCTTGATCAGCTGACCAACCTGGTGAGCATCCCTTTGCTCTTCCTTGGGCCTATTGCAGAGACTTCCCCAGAACATTTCTGGCCATGTCACTGTGCAGCCCAGTTGATCTCTAATTTTGAGAATGGAGGAAATACTATGTTCTGGTTTGTTTCTTCATTGCTATGACAAAATACTCTGACCATTACTAACTTGGGGAGGAAAGGGTTTATTCAGCTTACATCTCCTGGGTCACAGTTCATCAGGGAGCCCAAGGTAGGAACTCAGGGCAGGAACCTGGAGGCAGGAGCTGGAGCATAGGCCATGGAGGAACACTGCTTACTGGCTTGCTCCCCTGGCCTCTGCTCAGCCTGCTTTCTTATGCAACACAGGCCCACCTGCCCAGGGGTGGCACCACCCACAGTGGGCTGGGCCCTCCCACATCACTCATCAAGAAGATGCCCCTCAGACATGGCCACAGGCCAGTCCAATAGAGGAAATTCCCCAATTGAAGCTTCCTCAACCCAGGTGTGTCAAGTTGACACTAATACTATCTAGCACACTCTAGATGAGGTTTTAGCCCTTCTGTTTCATGTTGGGACTCTCTGTACTCAAACTGTCCTAGTGTGGCAGATTCCATGTGTGGTCTATGAACCTTGAGGATCTGCAAGATGCAATATGTTTTCTCACAATACTAAATTGCCTCTTTTACAAGGTTAACATTTGTACTGATGCTGCAAAAACAGTGTTGTGTAGACTGCGGGTAGCTTAATATCATGACCCTAAACTATGTGAGCCCCATCCTTACCTCCATGTACTCTCAGTTTTTATTTTTTATTTTATTTTATTTTTTTGAGACAATATCTCCCTGTAGCCCTTACTGGCCTGGAACTCACTATGCAGACCAGGCTAGCCTCAAACTCGTAGAGATTCACTTGCCTCTCTCTCCCAAGTGCTGATATTAAAGGCATGCACCACCATGCCCGACCACTCTCAGTTTTTAAAAAGCCAGTTTTGAGCCTTTGAGATGGCTCACTGAGTAAAGGCATTTGTCACAGGTTCGATCCCTAGAACCTACATAGTAGAAGGAGAGAACAGACTCTGCAAGTTGTCATTTGACCAGCAAACACAGGATGGGGTGTGCATTCACAACACACACACACACACACACACACACACACACCATAAATAAATAAA